TTTATGATCTCATGAAAAACTCAATGAGAATGTGAAAACGTACCACCAATAGCTTCCTAAGCTCCAAAGGAATGATCTCCAACCAATAAATCAACACAAGAATCCCCAAGAATTCACCAAAAAGTCACAAAATTCGTGGTTGTAAAATGGGGTTTTCTCCTTCCACAATGCTCCCCACAAGATGCTCTCTACATGAAAGTCATTCACAAGAGGGTGAGGAACAACTTTGTAGTTGGAAGTTTCTCTCAAAAGTGTCTAGAAAAAAGTTAGAAATCAAGAAGCTTCAAGCCCCAACAATGGCCAAAGACTTCCACGGGAAGAAGGAGGGGGAGAGAGAAAATGTGAAGAAAAATCAGATTTCAAGCCTATAACCACTTAAGTCACTTAAAGTAAATCCCACACATCACTTAACTTTCTTAAATCATCCAATTAAATCCATAAATTCATAACCTACATATTTTTCTCGTTCACGTCATATTTTTACTTCCTAAAAATATTGATCATATTTTTGTGCTTATCGATACAATTATACCGCATTATTTTACACCGATAAAATCATTATTCATCAAATTTTCCGAAACGTGCCTATCCACTCGATTTTTTCGTCCTGAATCCATTTATGGCATTATTTTTACCATTTGAGACCTTTTACTCAATTTTTCTTGCCTAGGGTCATGTGTTTGGTAAATTACCATTTTACCCTTTTTACCTATTTTGTCCCTAATTTCAGGATTTTCACTAATCCTATCCCTTAATCCACACTTTCACATATAATTATACATTTAGAAGTACGAGGTGTTATATTCACGGCTCCTTTTTGAAAAAAAATTCGCAAAATTAAGTCATACTTGTCCACTAACTCAGGATACAGCCGGAGAATCTCATCTTCTCATTCCCAAGTAGCCTCTTCAGATGTACGGCCTTCCCACTGAATCTTTAACATAGGAATTACTTTGCTCTTAGTCTCTTTTCACTGCGGTCCAGTATTTCAATGGGACCAATGAGAGTTTTCAGGTTCTCTAGAATTTCAATATCATCTGGTATCACCACATATGATCATCCGGAACATAATGGCGCAGTTGTGAACTTTCTCTGATTGACCAATTCATTTCCACTAATTGGGTTATCTTACCTATAGAACCCATAATTTCTTTTGGAGAGTGTGTTAACCTAGTTAGCTTATCAACAAATATCCACATAGGATTATATCCAGTCTAAATCCAGGGCAATTCAATCCATCACTTTCCTAACGTTCAATCCCTACCTCCCAGGCACATATCATTCTCTGACAATTTCAATCAACAATTATCCTTAGTTGAGTTTTATTCCCGCGAACTCTAGAACTCTTGCCATCATTTCTGTTTGAGTCCCATTAGTCACATAGCCTTACTTTGATATACAACCCAAGTTTCTAAATATCTTAGCCCACATTAAATATCTTTTCGAAATCTTAATAGTTCCTCAATGCAATCTCACCGATCTAATCATATAGTTTACGCTCATGGTAAGTTCAGTCTTAGAGGGAATAATCCCCATTTACGATCTTTAGCCACGGTTGTACATACATGTATTTCTACCCATGTTCTTAATCTAAGAACATGCAATTCCACTTCTGCACTTAATACCGAACATGCACCTTTTCTGTACATTGATGTTGCATCTAACTTTATCGGTTTATTCAATTCCACCATGACCAAAACATATTGGTGAATCAATTTTGCAACATATTTCACTTTTACCTACTGGACCACTCATCATAGTTTATACATCATATTGGTCATTTCAAGGCCTTTAACCACAATTCTACTCATGAAATTCTATATACAAGGCCATACCTACAATTTACATCAATTGTTCATTTCTTCATCAACTTAGTCATCTCAAGGCTTATACATACAATCCATCAATGATTTTTCATATTAAAGGCATCTTGCCGAAGATTTCCACATATATTTCATTCCTGTATACCTCAGTTTCATAATCATTTCATTTAACCATTGACGTATCGTTCGAATATACCATATCATATCTCTTGCAATTAAGTCCCATCATATAGGGATTTCCAAAACCTACTTATCCTGTTATCAGGAGAAAGTAGAAACACACACACACACACATACACACACATATATTTATCAGGATGTTGTGGTTGTATTTTATCAAGATAGAGTAGAAAAACACACACACACACACAGATATATATATATATATATATATATATATATATATATATATATAGTAGATTAGATGAAGTTGAAGCAGTGTACAACTTGTAACTTTTAGTAGTTAAGATGTAATATATGTACTGGTATAATGTAATATAGTTTAGGACGTAGAATATGATATTGTTCTATTTGAGAGATAGATATGTCCAATATGATGATTGGTATGTTTTTGTTGGATCTATATGCCCTCTCTCAGGTGTCTATGGAGGAGATACCTTTTGATGGTAGGCAGATTACCGTGCACAATAATAAACGACATAGTTAAAGTGTAGGGTGTGTACACAGTTATAGTTAAGAGAGAGAGGGTTTAGAATCTGTGTACCTTATAAGCAGATCATATCTCTCCAAATCCTTCTTCATCTTTATCTCGAACTGTGGTGTGATCTTTTTACTAGGATCACATCTCTCCAAATTCTTTCTCATCTTTATCTCGGATTGGGGCATAATCTTTTTGTTAGAATCACATCTCTTTAATTCCATCTTCATCTTTATCTCGGATTGGGATATGATCCTTTTGTTAGGATCACATCTCTCCAAATCCTTCTTCATCTTTATCTCAGACTGGGTTGTGATCCACAGACGACGCCAATGTTCTATCTAGATGATCGAGATGTCTAGCTTAAGACTAGTAAATCGGTATTGGATCGAGTTCCCTCTCTAAGGTATCTATGAAGTAAATACCTTGAGATGACAGATCTCTATACACAACTGATAACGACATTAGTCAAAGGGATGTTGTGTGTGCACAATGACAGTATATCTATGAGAGAGAGATTAGGTCATACTTATAGGCTTTATCCCATATTTATAGAGTTTTACATGCGAGTATATGAGTTCTAGGCCACCTATTCACAAGCCCAATTATCTTTTTGCCCATTTGTCATGTGATTTCCCTTTGTTGGGCCTCTAAATATATGGACCATATACAGGTGCATAATAGATATAAAATATTTAGAATGTAAAAATGTATGTACTTGACTTAGAATCATGTACAAAGTAACTTAAGAAAGTTTGTTATATCAATCGATGTTTAAAAGTCTATATTCCTTTTTTTTCTTGTTACTAATATTAAGATGTAATGTGATATTCTCTATACTAGTTAGCTATAAAGGATGTAAAGGATGTTACACTATTCCAATATGAAGGCATTGTAATTCAATAAAGCATATATTTCATTATTTTTGTAGAACACAAAGCATGTAATTATTTTATCAAAAGAATTCAAAGTCTAAGTTTATTGGGTATACAAATACTAGATATTTATCAGACTTGAATAAAATACAGCCCCAAACATGATATGTATTTGTATATAGTGGTACTAAAATTTATTGGCGATAAATAAAACAAACCTTAGGGCAACATCTTCAAACCAAGCAGAATTGACTGCATTATATGAAGTTGTTCAATACACACACGCACGCGCGCACACATACACACATTTGAGGGCAATATTTTTTAAATTTATCAATGTCTACACACACGCGAGCACACACACATATACACACACAGAGAGAGAGAGAGAGAGAGAGAGAGAGAACATGTGGCCTTGAAATGACCAAGGAAAAAATACACACACATAGAGAGAGAAAGAGAGAGAGAAAACACGTGGCCTTGAAATGACCACGGGGAAATCATAATTACTATATGAATATAATGCTTCACGTATTGCTCTAAATAAATGAAAGATACACCAAATCAAATAGAACTAAACTCATTTTTAAAAGAATGGTGAGATAAATGTCCATTAAGATTTGCTCAATTTAAAATCTTGTAGATTTGTTGGCAAAATCTTTGAGCAGCTTGTATGCAAAATTGGTAAATGTCGTCTAAGTAATATCCATTGACGTGAGAGGGAGTAGGTTGACTATGAATATTATATTATTTTTTCTTCGCTATGTTTTTATCTCATTAAACAAGGTTTCGACAAAGCATGTTCATAATGTATAATTATAATGGGAAGTTTTATAAAACATGCATATTTTACATGTGTGGAAGACCATTATAATTGGATATTAAAGGTCCACTAGTGGGAAATTTTTTTAGTACTATGTGGGTACCTAACTTGGTACTCCATTTTACTAAAAAAGAAAAAAAAATCATTTTAACTTATACTTTTTTTTATAATTCCACTTAAGTCCCAAAAATTTTCCTTTTTAGTATGTATGTACGTATAACAGTTGTACCAAAGGTTTTCTCCCACTAGTGTGGTTATGGTTAAATCTTTGATAAGCTTATCTACTCTCATGTTGTAGTAGAGAATATATCTTATACTAAGACACAAAGTGATAGGACCTATCACTAAAAAAAATAAAAATGACGGCACAATTATCGAAGTGTCTATAATATAAGATATTAGTCTCCTATAATATGAGATTATATTTGCCATCTTTGATATGTCTTATGATATTTGATGTGCAATATAATCATTATAAATAATCGTGCATTGAAATATTATCCCCTTTCACAATTCAAGATTGGAGTCTTATATGAAGACATCCTTTTTTAATGAAAAGAGGAGAAAAATAATTTGTGACATTCTTATGCTATCACAAAAATTTGTACTTCGATCTTATTGTCTAAATATTTTCTCATTTTATCTCTTAATTAAAATCATGTTTGGCATGACGAATCTTCATCTTTTTTCTCCTTAAAAGGAGAAACATGCCCCAACATATTCTTAAAGAAACTGTTAAAAAAGAAAGCGGAATTTTTCGAACGAGGAAAAATAGTAATATTGTCAAAAATATTAATTAAAATTATCAAAGAAACGTTGTCTCACATCACCAAAACCAAAAACAAAAATAAACTCAAAATCAAAATCAAGTTCTTGGCACCAACACTGCTATAACTCTGCGCTCCATTCAAGCGCAGTGTCCCCTTGGCTTGCAAATTCGCCATACTAATTTCATGCTGGTTCAACTTGTCACCGATGACGGAGGGCCCCACCTGCCACACGTGGTTCACCGTCTCCGCGTTCTCGGGCACCTTCACCGACGCAAAAATAGTCATCATGCCACCAACCTCGTCAGCACTCAAATCCCACACGTCGAAGGAGAGGTTCCCATGAAGAATGACAATATAGGACTTGAGGTTCAAGGTATTCACTGTCATCACACCATTTTTCTTGAAGGCCACGATGGCCTGAGCCCCCACCATGCCGGTGCCGGTGGGGTTGATGGCCCACGAGACCCAACCATCGGGTCTCGACGGCGTTGCGACGAACGCCACCGAAAGAGAAAAGTTGGAAGGGTCGTAGGTCCAATGGAGGTATGAGTTGAGGTAAGGAAGGTCCATGCAATTGAAGTAAATATTTTTGGAATTTAGCTTCTGGGTGGTGCATGTGTGGGTGGAAGAGGCTGTGACGGCGAAGAATGTGAGGAGGAGAAGCAACATGGGAATTGAAGGTGAACGTGAAGGTGGTGGTGACAACATTGTTGGAGAAGAACAAAGAAGACAAGACTGTGTATTTGTGTTTTGACACAAAGTCTATATATTCTTCTAATTTGAAATAGAAAAAAAGAGCGACAGAATCTCTGTATATATGTGTGTATGTGTGTTTATTTGTTGTTTCGTTATGTTTTCTAGTTAGGATGAGTTGGTGAACTTAGTAATCGTGAGGTCGGAATTGAATGGAATAGAGAATAACGTGGCTTCTGAAAACGGGATTCAAACAACATAGAGAAGGGGACAGCTCAAGACACATTCAATTTTCTAAAAAAAGTATTTCATGTATTTTTATTAAATATTTTTAATTTACTTTTAAATTATTAAATATGTTTTATATTTTGAAAATGTTTAAAATGATTCTACTTTTTATCGCATTTTTTCCTAGACACATTGAGTGTGCCTCTAATTCTTAAATTGATAATATTAAATTACTGGTTTACCAAATGAAATAAAATAAATTATACTATTCCAATTGTTAAAATGGATCTAAATTTTATTATTCAAAATGTTATATATGTAGAATATTTTGTGACGTTTTTTCAAGTCATTTTGGAAATTTGACATTTTTGTTAGCTTTGTAATGAATGAAAAATTCACATCACTTTATCTTATTTGAACAAAAACAACACAGTGCCTTGTGGATATATAACTATATATTACTGTTATGGAACCGTATAATGGGCCCATTAAATATCAAGTCCAACAAGGGGCAATCTAAGATATGGATTGATGCTAATCAATTCATACTTATCTTAATGTGACAGCATAGCTATTAGGGCTGGATCCTCATCGTAGCAACCAAAGGCCCATCCACACTACCTACAAGTAACCTCTATAAATACGAGGGCAAACCCTAAAGGTACACACATTCTCTCTCTTATTGTTATTATGTCATTGTGCACACACACAACCCATTGGCTAACGCCGTTATAGTATTCTGTGCACAGTGATCTCCTTGACTCAAGGGTATCTCTCTCATAGATACCTTGGAGAGGGCATCAGATCCAATATTAACGTACTAGCCTAGCGGGGCTAGACATCTCTGTCTCAAGGACAGATCATTGGCGCCGTCTGTGGGAATTCTTTTCTTTGAATCTGAATCTGAAGTTCCCACCAAATCTGACGGGGGATGGCAATTCAGACAAGGAGTAGTAGCCAGCAGCCACCCCCAAACCAGAATCAGCCGTTGGATCCAGTCATTGAGGAGATAAATCAACCTCACAATCAGATCGGAAACAACGTGGATTACGACCACGTCCAGGTCGAAGACGATGTTTCAGACACCGCCTCGACGCCGATGTGTCGAAATGGGGGAGCTGCAGCGAACGTAGCTCCAATGAGGAGCAACCCTGCCCAGCATCCTGGCGATCTGGCTGCGCGCATTGCTCAATCAGCTGATCCGGATACTCTGATGGCCAACAACACGTTAAACGCAATTATGGAACGAATAGCAACGCTGGAAACCCGTACTAACTTGCAACGACAACAAGATTTCAGGGCTATTCTTGAGGAAAATAACAGAGGGATGCAAGACCTGGAGCGGCGATTAACACGGCAGACTACGCCAGGAATAGCCAATGTCGAAGGTCAGCCTGCCTATGGTCGAGAAGGACCTAGGAACCCGTTTCAATCATACCAAGTTCCTCATGCAGGAAACCCTGGTAACCTGATAAACTAGGGATACCAGATCGCTGATGGCCAAGATGAACAAAACCATCAAGCACATGCTGACGGTCAGGAGGACCGGGTTAGAGCTCAGTATCAACAGGATCCTCAAAACATCCGAGGATGAGTAGAACCTGGCGGATATAGGAGGAAGTACAGCAGGGGGCAGTATAATAACAGCCCATTCACCAATGAAATATTAAACGCTGTCTTCCCAGAGGACTTTGACTCGGCACGTTTACCGAAATATGATGGGAGCCAGGATCTGCAGGTGCACATAGATGCCTTTGACACAGACATGTATATTCGGGGAATTGATGAGCCTCTTATATCCCGAATATTTGCTGTAACATTAACTGGGGCAGCGCAGGCGTGGTTCTCAACCCTGCCTGCTAATTCCTTCGAATCCTTTGAGGAGTTCGGACAGAAGTTCCTATTGAACTTTGCAACCAGCAAGAAGCATCCAAAGTCCGAGTTCGTTCTTGGAAAGATACGACAGCAACCCGAAGAAACCCTCCAAAAATAACTTAACCGGTTCAAGGACGCTGCATTGCAGGTCCCAGGGTTGCAAGAGAATGTCCACGTCCACCTCATTGTCGCAGGTCTGGATGGTGGATCCAGACTTGCCAAGTCGGTCTATATGGACCCGGTAAAGACATTGGAGGAGTTTAGAACTCGTTTGAAAAAATATCTTGAACTAGAGCAAATGGAGATTGCAAATACGCAATTTGACGAAGGCAACAGAGTAAGCCCGAGAAGGAGGAGCCCACCCCCGAAGGGAAAAGAACGAGTTGACAGCAAGAAGAAAGATCAATGCCAACGAATCCCGGATATGAGAGACCGCATTGGAAGGTATGATAAGTATACACCTTTGAATGCGTCGCGTTCTTAAATCTGGAGAGAAGTAGCCACGACGGAGATGAAAAAAGTGGAGAGACCTCGTCCCATATTTGACAGAGGAGGATTAGATAAGTCCAAATACTGCGCTTTTCATGATGGGCCAGGCCACACAACCGATCAGTGCTGGGATCTCCGAGATGCGGTGGAGAAGTTTGTAAGAGATGGTAGATTACGTCAGTATGTAATAAAAACTCAAGGTTCCAAAAAGAACAAAAGGAAGTTGGGAAACAGGAATCGAAGCAAAAGTCCCATTACTGAAAAGAAGAACAAACAGGATAAGAATCAGAAGAATGATTCCAACTATGACGAATTCCCAGAAGTGAAGTTTGATTGTAATGTAGTTAGTGGAGCTTTGGGAGGTGGAGGAGATACTGTAAGTGCTAGAAGAAAGTACCTGAAAGAGGTACTCTCTATATGAGATCATCCCAAGTTCAAAAAAGACCCAACCAAGCCAGATCCACCTCTCTTATACTTTACTAAAGAGGACATGCGCGGGGTGCTGCCGGGTCATGTTAACGGACTAGTGATTGTGGGGACCCTAGTGAATTGTCGGGTTAGGAAGATTTTCGTGGATGCAGGAAGTTATGCTGACATCATACTTTGGGATGCTTTTAAAAAGATGAACTGGATGAAGAGGACCTTAAACCTTGCAGAACGACGCTGGTAGCCTTTAACGGAGAACATACGCCTCCTAAGGGTTACATTGATCTCAGATTAACCCTGGGAACAAAAGAAGCATTCAGATCAGAATGGGTTAGGTTCATAGTGGCTGACTTCCCTTCAGAATACAATATAATCCTGGGAAGGCCAACCATACATCAGTGGGACATGCTGGTTTCTACAAAACACCATAAGTTAAAAATGGTGAGCAATAAGAATGAAATAATCACTGTTTGTGGAGATCAGAAGGAATCCAGAGGTTGTTGCTTTGATACTATCAAAGAAAATGAAGGGGGACGTTCGAGCCCACCCCGAATTCACTCGGGGGATAAAACCGGTAGGAATCTAATTCCTCAGCAATCTAAGAAGCCGGTCAACATGGTTGAACTCGACATGAGAGAAGAAGTAATGCCGAGACCCGAACCTGATGGAGAGCTTGAGAATCTCACGCTGGGGGTAGAGCCTGGTCAGTTTACCCGCATTGGTAAAGCCATAGGCCCCCAGATCAAGCAAATTTTGGTTGACTTTCTTAAAAGCAACATGGATGTATTTGCGTGGAAGTCGTCAGAGATCCCTGGCATCTACCCCGCCTTCTGTTGTCACAAATTGGCAGCTTATCCGGGGTCCAAGCCAGTTTCACATAAGAAACGAAAACTGGGACCTGAAAGGAAACAAATTCTACAGGAACATGTTAAAGAACTCTTAGATGCTGGTTTCATTCCAGAGATACAGTACACGACGTGGCTAGCAAATGTGGTGATGGTGAAAAAACCGAATGGGAAATGGAGAATCTGTACTGATTATACGGATTTAAACAAAGTTTGCCCAAAGGACGCTTATCCTATGCCTAACATAGATCAGCTGGTAGATAATTCGGCTGGATTTCGTCTGTTGTCTTTCATGGATGCCTATTCAGGATACAACCAGATCCCGATGTACCCAGCGGATCAAGAAAAAACGGCCTTTATTGCTGAAAATGCCAACTATTGCTACAATGTGATGCCATTTGAGCTTAAAAACTCAGGGGCAACTTACCAGAGGATGATGAATAAGGTTTTCGAAGATCAGCTGGGCAAAAATGTAGAAGTATATATAGATGATATGATTGTGAAGTCATTTGATATGATGAATCATCTTCATATTTAACCCGGTAAAGTGCGCGTTCGGAGTGGCAGCTGGAAAATTTCTGAGTTTCATGCTAACCCATAGAGGAATTGAGGCAAACCCGGATAAATGCAAGGCAGTGCTTGACATGGTTGCACCCCAAAGTAAAAAGGAGGTCCAACAGTTAACCGGATGATTAGCAGCGCTAACCCGGTTCCTTCCAAAATCGGCTGAAAATGCCCTCCCATTCTTTAAACTTTTAAAGAAAGAAGCAACTGACGGTTGGAACCCGGCATGCGAAGCCGCGTTTGAAAAAATAAAGAAATGTTTATCAACTCCACCGATCCTCTCAAAGCCAAACACAGGAGATGTTTTAATTCTGTATTTGGCAGTAGGGGAGGAAGCAATAAGCGTTGTACTGATCAAGGAAACAAACGAAGGCCAGGAGCCAATTTACTTTGTCAGTAAAGCCTTACAAGGTGCAGAGGTCTGGTATCCAAAGCTAGAGAAGGTGGCTTTTGCCTTACTGGTCACGGCTAGAAGGTTGCGGCCGTATTTCCAAGGTCACCAAATCATCGTCAGAACTAACCAGCCTATTCGACAGGTGTTGCACAAACCAGACCTGGCAGGAAGAATGACTAACTGGGCAATAGAGC